GGACGCGGTTATGGTTGCCTGCTCGTTGTTGTAGAATGCACAAAATCACGTCTGCCTGTAACGAATGCTAAAACCCAAAAACAGATATTTCAAAGCCTCGCTGCTCCCGCCTGTGCTAAGTCGTTTCGTACATGTCGCTTTATCATTGTCAACCCGTTACCCTCTCGCTCGTTTTCGTCTGTCACCCTGCGACTGTTTGACTGACAAACTGGCGGACTTTGTGATAGACATTGTCGAATAAATAATCCGACCAGCGAGCGTGAATGTCGTGCATATTGCTTCTACAATTCAGCTTTTCCCGAATAGAACATTCGTAAAACGGTACGTGGCAAAGCCACCATATCCAGCCAGTGTTTCTTGTTGTTACACTTATTTTGCATATTCACACCTGCCCATCGTCGTTCCGGAACCCACTGGTGCTTGAAAAAGATCTCACCGAGACAAATGGAAACAATGAATGGGATTATAGCGATGGGCAAAACTTTAGAACCAATATATTCTACAACAAAGTTGATAGCAATAATCATTTAACGGAATAACGCAGTGCTAGCCGAAAATAAAGCTTAATAACGTCACGTAGAAATCAAAGCGTAATTTCCATGTACCCAGGCAATGATTTAGTCAAACTTCATGCATGGTAGATGTTAACTGTTTATGACGCTTGATTATTATGGAATACGCCTAGACGAAGTGCCTCTGACGGCTTGGCGAATATCTTAGACAGAAAAGCTATCACAGAGAGCTTACTATAATCCCCACGTTGTAGCTCAAATCTGTTTTTAATAGTCATGAGATGGTTTCTTGTGTATCCTATGCTGTCAAACAAAAATCACCACAGCTTTGCCTATCTTATTAAATCGTAAAACACTCGATTAAACGTCTGGCTAACGCATACGCGGGATCAGACAGCATTTCCCAAAAAGTAACTTGAAGGGAAATAGGAAAAGTTCTTAAAGTTTAACAATGGCTAAATCAAATAATGTCTATTTAATTCATTTGCGTTTCTGGATGTAGTCATTTTGCTGACGTCAAATCATCACTTCAGCAGAAATCGTCACGAAAATTACATGAAGCGGCTTCACTGGTGTTCTTAATGGTTATTTTAAAGAAAAGACTAAATAGCCGCTCATAGAAGGCCTCGTTTTCTTTTTCCTTCTATATATATATATTATATGGCACAATTATGCTGGTCCGCAGATTTATGTTTTGTTGTACTTTGTAAATCTTAGGCCTCGACTAGCCATCAAGCAATACGAGTTGCTGCAGCAGTGAAGCCCGAAGGGGTTGACTCTAACAGGAAGCAGTGACGTAGATGATGGAATAAGCGAGACGTCTTAATATTGGCTGCCACCCACGATACTTCTTTCGGTTATAATCACCATGTTCGTACCGTGTGACCGAAGTGAAAATGAGGTCAGCATCTTTAGAGTCGAACTCATTCATCGAATTACTATTAAAAACACCACAACACGTCTGTGAGTGCCGGTAGCGTATAAAAACAAAGTACTAGCACGCAACTGGATTTAGAAACGAAACGCTTTAAAGTAGTGTTTTTTTTCTTAAACTTTTGAGAAAGTTAATATGTTGTGAAGACTATTGCCGAAGTATTCATCAGGTATTGTGGGACTTTCACTTATAGAATTCTGGATCCTGCATACTTGTACCTCGGTTTGGCACTAATTCCGTTTCCTGGCGAAAGTTACACCTAACGAAAACAAAAAAGCTCTATTCTTTCATTTCCGAATGAAATTTCACGTCAAAGAAGATTCGTTGCTATTGTACTCCAGGGCTAACCGGTCTTTGGCTAAAATGACGTTGACTGCAAATCAGCGGCACAGTGCACATTTAAGGCTGTTGTCTGGATAGGCTAATGTAGTACGAACCAGCAACTTGTCCTTCAATGGTCTCCCGAGGCAGGCCTTTCAGCAGTTCAAGCAGGTAACATCAGTTGAAGGATTTTGAAAAATTATATATTTCAAAAGCACCTTTAACTCGTGTCAGAAAGAACAAAGGCTATAAGGTTTTGATCTTTTATTGTCAAGTTGAATATTCGAAAGGTTACTGTTACCACACTGCTTCGTGCTATAAAAAAAATTACAAGAATTATTTGCAAGAAGCAAACATTAGGAGGAACATTTGTCCCTATATCGCCATCGCCTGTCATTCGCCCGATCTTTTTTATTGAACCACTTACCATTCCCAAGGGTTTGTCACGCCGTGCGCGTTACGAATTGACTTAATAATTCTGCTCGTCGTTTACATTAGTTTTATTTAAATGTAATATATACTTAAAAGGTTTGTATTTGTATTCCAGCGATTTTTTTCACAGCAGCACTTACTTGAGATTCTTGATGAGGTTATTCTTGCAAGTCCAACACTTCTGTATTTGTTGGTAAAAGAACCGAACGTAAATCTTCTCAATATGCTTACCTATGAATAATATATAGGATATTTTTCAGAGACTACTATTACGTTATTAACAAGGTTAGTGGCCCGTCTTCGAAGGCTTGTGCTAGCAATGCGGCTGTGACAAATTGTGACAGACTTCCATATACGCCCTCTGCGGTTTAGTATGTACCGCTTTTTTCTGACCATTGCCCTGTCATTGTTATGCTGGGGGAAAATCCCTTTTTTATTTTCACTTTCGAGCAAATCTTCTAAAGGACCAATTCCCACCCGGCTATACGACAGGCCTCCTATAAACCTATTCATAGATCAGGTGCAGAACATTCACTGTCTATAGTGCAATTTGACTCAGCTTTTAAAGCATTTTGTAACCAGTTTTATTATGAGTGTGGTAGACGTTTTGATGTGGTTGAGGCTGAGAAGTCATGAGTTTTGCAAATGCTCTTATAGCAGTCCGAGCAAGCCTGCTACAGTCATTGCTAAAGGTATAGAATGGATCTGGTGCTTGCTAGCAATACGCTGAAGACTCTAAAAAGCGATATTCCAAATTATGGAAAGTTATCGAACACTCTTCTGGTAGAAGGAAAGGAATCCTATCATCTGTGCTCTGGGCACATAAACCTCAAAACCCTTAAACTATTGCTGATGACCACAAAAAACATTTCGTCACTTGTTGGCTCCGCCACTGTTACTTCCGTGCAGATCCGTTCTGACGTTCAGGCAGAGATATTACCGATTTGACGGATTAACGGAGCGTTGTTCGGGTTGAATTATGTCAATGCGCTTAGGGTGCAAATGGTTTTAGAAAGTATGAAAACTGGACGAAAATGCGGAACTCCTGATATCTTAGGAGGACGTTCTGGCCAGCAGTTGCTCGCCATTTAAAATTACAGTGAACCTATACAGCGATACGCATTTCCTTAGATAGAAGATCGTGGGAATTCAAAGGCAGAGGGAGTTTTCGAAAAACCAATGATTAGCAGGCTTGACAAACACCTTGCACGTGCCAGAGTTTTCTCATCTACTCAAATGATTTTCTGAAAATTTCGGTCAGCGAAACTAGTATTGGTACACCTTTGAAAGGAAGTTATCAACCCTATTGAGAATGCGGCCTGCTTCGGAGAGCGTCGAAGGGCGAGTTTTCAATAGAAACCTTCGGAACTTTTTTTTTGCTGTTGATACCAATAAGATAGGTCTCGCACTGTTTTATTGGCCTCGACATAGAACACGTTAGAATCAAGCATTTATTGTCCTAGACTATTGAGCGCTTGGGGATACACCTTCGCGCACACACTATAGCTCAGGCGCCTAAACGTTGCGCTTTTATTGCGGCAATGAGAAGACGCAAGAATATCGGTATTCCCAAACTACTATTCCCAAACAAACTATTCCCAAAGAATATCGGTATTGGTTTTCGTTCACAAGGCGCTTTTGTTGCCAGTGTCGTGCCATGCGCTTTCCATGTGGGGAGGTGGCCATATTTGAGAACATGTGGTAGGTCTAAGTCCTCCAGAACGATGGTACGGAGGTAATATTTGGCACAGTCGGCAAGCACTCTGTGAATGGCCTCTTTTTCTCGAACAGACTGCTTTCTGTTGATTACTTTTAAGATGTTAAAAGGCCATATTCCATTGGTTACTTTTTTTCCCACTTGCCTCCGCCGTCAGCTGCTCTAACCGTCATGCTATTATTCGAAATTCCCTTCATTAGTAACGAATCTAGCAGACATCCTTTTGACTGCCACTTATTTCCCTCACTCTCGATGTCTCTTCCTCGTGAAATTTGGCCAGGAATTTATTTTGAGGCAATATGTAAATGAAATGATTGTACGAAAAAAGTGTTTTATTGGTAATTGTGACGATGTATATAATTACACAATAATTATAATGTAAAATGTTTCCTATAATGTGGTATTTTTTGTCAAAAGCTTTTTTGCGAGGGCCTAAGCATTGCCAAAACATCTGTTCCGTAAACAAACCAAAAATGTCTATTGTCTTTTGAAGTAACCCTAAAAACAACCAATCTAAATGATTAAATAGATACAGCAATGGCCGGAATGATAAAAAAAAAACATAAATGGACGTCGAAGTGGAAAACACTAGACCAGAGCGTCTATAACACCGCTTAGTTATAAAAAAAAGTGTAACATTGCGCAGTACTTTAGACAAAAGCCTTCCAAGTCATCATTGATTTAAGGTCAATACATGCACTGAAGGAAGAAAAAGAATGGACATCGACTGAGATAGCGTGTGACAATTGACAACATATGAATGTTTTCGAACTTTTATGTAAATCTGACATTGTCTATTATGCGCACTTTTCACATGATATGTCCTATGTATCGGATATGATGAATCATTGATGCCTTAATTTACCAATAGTAGTGAGCAGCGCGGTTGTTCAGGCTATGACGACAAAGCCAGAGGTTGATAGCTCGAGCGCCGCGCGTGACACATAGCTCTCTCTAAACTTCATAGGCTTCAATGTGATAATAAAAATAACGGAAGCGGCGCAATTTTCAGTAGATATGAAAGCGTAAATTAGGCAATCAAAATACGCATGAAGTATCTGCTATATCTGACCGGATTTTGCAGAGTCAAGCGGCGGAAGTTGTTCGAACCATTGGTCAAGCTTTTGAAGTATGCCACAAACTTAATCAACAACAAGGAGCTCTTGGAACCACAGACAATGGTGGGTTAGCTCTGACCGGAACAAATGCGAGCTCACTTAATGGGGCGAGCGCCGAGATTCTCGAGCACAAAGAACTGCTTGAAGAAGATAAGAAGGATACGTGTGAGGGTGCCACCCAAGACCTTGGACCACCACAGGCTATTATCAACGGCCAGGCCAAACAGCCTCAGACACCATCGGTGAGTTCGGTGAGCAACCCCTGATTTTTCTCCTTATATTATTACATGAAATCCTTCTTGCCTATGCTTTTGCTCCGTAACTTTCTACAGAAACTGCAACGAAATAAGTAGCCAAGGCGTATATTCGAAGTTAGTAAGCTCAAAAATGCGTTTTAATATTTTATTAGTTTTTACAGCGACACGAAGCCAGCGACATAGCCACTAAACATAACTCTTTAGAACCTACGCCGTAACGCACAACGATGTACCCTTAACCATTTGTTGAAATGAAAATTAAACTATCGTTCGCGCTGAATTAACGACCACAATTATCAGAAGATATCGTCCAGAACGTTTAAGACACTAAATATAACAGTTTTCTGACCACCTAACTTGACGCCCGATCCAGTAATTTATCCACAGATATCTGGCAGATCCATTGCAGTGACTAGCTTTTGTACAGTGTATAGGCTGCAGGCATGTGTCTTGGTTTTTTCGGCAGTTAAAGGCTGTTAAATCGTATTAGGAGATACCGGGCGAATTTAACTATAGAAAAATTAAACAGTCTATACAAAAATGTATGTAGCGATTAAGTCTGATCAGAAGCTTTGCCTCGCAGGTATTATCTGAGTGACATTGCTTTTCATGATCTTAATACGCCCTTAGAAATGCTTAAAAGATTTCCATATCAGTTCTATAGGTGTTATCTATTTTTTCATACAGCAGGGCCTTGATTATAACAGACCATCATTGACCTTGTTCTTCCGTTCTGTTTAGTGAAATACAAATCGTCTGAGATTGCGCCTCCGTTCGAACCTATTTTATTTTTAGTAGCGAACGCTCTACACCCCTTGTACTACTTATAACATACAACTTGTATAACTTATAACTAAAAATATAAAATATTTCTAGTATAACAGTCCATTGGGACAAGACGATCCTCTGCTCAGATACTTCTCCCGCATATTGCTCCGCTTTATGTATATCCGCGTTATGTATATGTATATTTATACACACGATGAACACGCAGGTACGGTTTGCAAACTAATGAGCCACCTATTCGTTATAGTGCTATATTGACTTTCTATCCGCCCGTACTGCGCTCGAATCGGATCCTAGTGCGTCGATCTTGTAACTAGACAAGTTGAATTTTAAACTTGGAAGGCATCATGTGTTTTGTGTTCTCCCGTTGTTTATTACCCGTTCTTTATTGTGTTAAAGACTATCTTTTATGGAACTCATCAAATGTTTACAAACTTTGAAACTTAGCAGTTTTAGTAAATGACTAAATTAGAATATTTAGCTCTGCTTTAAAGATTCCATAAACTTTAAGCGCACAACACATCCATAAGTTTAATAGAAACGGTTTTTCTATTCTATGTATGTTATGTTTATCAAATACCACATTATTTTCAGGTTTCTGAAGCTCCACCTCCTTTTGGAGCCACTGACGTCGACTCCAGCCCCGCCTCGTTGGCAACGTTGCATCAGTTGCAGTTGCTCCGCGCACAAATGGATTACCAAAGTCAAGCAGCATATCAGGCATTGTCTCAAGTGAAGCTGCTCCGTGAACAACTGACAGCTGAAAATGCTGCACGGATCGATGCCATGGTGAGTACGTACGTCCTTCATTTTTACTGCTAGCAACAAGGGTCACCACAATTTTCTCGCTCTGGGCGCATTTAGTTATAAATCTGTTGCCGATGTTATGGGATGTTGACTTCACTGACGCAGATTATCATTTCGGAGTCAACAATTTGAAATGAATGTTAAAAAAAAAGATGCTTAGATCTAATTATTTCCATATCAAAATTCTCTAACCTGCATTTCTACAGAGTCAAAACCAGCTACTGACGCAGCAGAATCGGGAGCTGATTCAACATATTCAAATTTTGGTAAAGCAGATCCAAGAGTTAGAGGTGAGTCTGGTTTAACGGATAGAAACAAATTAACGCATGTGACTGTATAGATGGTTTTCATCATCGGAATTGAGACCTTTTAAATAGTGATTCAGTAAAAATCTGAATTACACGTACTATAAAGTATTATAATTTCAATAAATTGAGTGGACTTTTAGAACAATATTTCAAAAATGTTTTGCCTTCAGGTTTCCAGGTTCTGTTATATGTTAGATGCAGAAAGAGAAACTAAGGTTATCTACGCTGTACAACTAATTTGTGCAGCTAAAGCATGTAATGGAACGTAAATCATACTCGTTTTTTTAACTCGTCTATCAATTTTTGTCAGGTTATATTACAATAATCTGACCGAGCGCATGGTAGGCGCTATCTCTATACTTCATTGATATGAGACAAGATCCTTCACTTTTATAGCGACCATTTCGGTGATCGATAGGTTGACGTATACACAATTGTGGTAACATCTTTAAATAGGTGTCGGCTCGTTGTCAGCCGCCAGTCCTGCAAGAAACGTCGTTGAGTCCAATCAGGGCTTCGAATACTCCATCGGTCTTTGATTTTCCCGCCGGGGCAACTTCATCGTCTGGACAATCGACAGGTGGTCACTGGTTACAGGTGGGCAGCACAGGCGGACCACCGAGCGGAGGCTCGAGTCCTCGGCTTCCAGCATCACCCAGCGTCGGCCCATCGCTGCTTTCCGACCTTAACAAATATCGGCTGGATGAAAGGCTCTGTCCATTACAAGGAAACATAGGCATCGGTCAATGTACACAACAGCAAGGCTCCTGGTCGGCTGGTGCAACCCCGTTAACGCCTCTGCCTCCGCTTATCAACGGCTATGGAACTCTACCATCACTGAGTGCTGCGGGACCTTCACCATTCATGCGCCAATATAGCTTGCCATTACCCGGATCTAAATCTAGTAAGTTTTGGTAGACTTTTTTTTGAACTGGAACTTGTGTTGAATTCTAATCTGGATCGCATCCAAGTGCGTGCTTACGCCAAGTTCAATATTTCTTCGCCTAACTTATAACATATATTTAATAAATAAACATTTACAAGTACCCTTCACGATAGTAATAATACAAATAATAATTGTTATTATTGTTATAGATTTTCCAAGTCATCTGCCTAAAATGGAAATGAATAAACTCACCATTAGTGAATCAGTCTCGACAGCTAATGATATAGGAACACTTCCACCAACTATCAGCACTTCGATGGGAGCGCAGTTCCGAGGACGCCAGGTAGATCAGGCTTCGCCGGGAAGTGGATCGTTTTTCCTTCCCTAAAATAAGAACTCGTCGTACCAGGATCAGAGTTGATTGTTGAATGTACAACGTTTCTACGGAAAATCGACACGCATATATACCTCATATATATATATATATATATACACGTAAAAATGAAAAGTCCACTTTTCATATAAACAATAGTATGCCAGACAAAAGAGAAAGAACGAATCGTAGAAAAGACCACAGCACACAAAACGTTGTAGGAATTCCGAACACATTATATATATATATATATATATATATACTTACAGTCGTTATCAGTAATGGCAATGGCCATGATGCATAGGTAAGTGGTGAAGTAGGCATAACTTGTGAATCAGTCGAGTAAAAAGTGCTGCTATATCTTGATATAAAGGCTGCTAGAGGCAGCCTTGGTTAAAGAAACGAACTTTCAAAGAATCGCCAAAGAGGCCGGCTATTTTAACTTTTTGGGATAGTATCAGATTAAGTTATATATGAAATGTAAGCAGTAGCGCTAGCGATATTCTTTGATTAAATTGATTCTGACATGGAAGGACATGCGTAGCGCGGGAATTGTTACAAATACAGTGGATCGTATAATGGGAATAATCTTCCGCTGTACAATCAATTATTCTTTGAGGATAATATCACTTTTATCTGCCCCAGTTTCCAATGGGACAGCAGTTTACTTGTTACGCCCTGAACCGTTGTTCTTCGAGTCTCTTTGTACTTAAGCCCGTGTTACGAACGCCTTCTGGAATAAGTATTTTTAACGACCACCATCATCATCAGCTTGTTCTGCCTGTTACACCTTATAGAATTATGATGTTGGTAAAGGCTGACTCACAGGATTTATAAAGACAGACTATACAGCAAGTTCAATTATCAAGTACTGCAAATAACGGCAAGATATTAAAGTGTAAACAATGAAAAACTGAATATTTCTGCTGCTCAAATACAGATACACTATTGTGCTCGTAGCGCACCTCGGAGGGTCCCCTACATTCCCTAACGTTGACTAAGGCAAAGATTAAGTTTCATGCTTACTATGCATTAGAGATGAACTCTGAGTACTTTTATGCGTACCCCCATAAGTCAGACAAAATCCGAGTGGGTATGCGACACTTCATGTTGTTTGTAATACTTTGTAGGTACGACATGTTGGATGGGCATAACAAACAAGCGTAGAACCATAATGACGCGTAGGCATTAGAAATCCTCCGCTACATTGTCGAACACCAGATTGTCTATGAAGATCTTATTACCCGAACGCTGCATGTGAACGTAGTCACAGCAAACCGAGTTTTTCATCTACAAATAGGACACAACGCTAGTTTTTTTTTATTGAGAGCCTGTGCGCCTGTGTGTGAGTTAAACATTTTGTGAGTGCGGGACTTTTATCCGCTATGTCGAATCAAGTTATCATCGTAAATATCCAGAAAATACTCATTATTCCGTTTTTGTCCAACATATAAGCGGAAATAGTCCAACGAGTAAACTGAACGAGCTGACCTAATATTTTTAGTCAGTTGAATCTAATTTGTCATACGTTTACAAAGAGAAAATAGTTTTTCTTCGAACATCCAACTTCAGACTTAGAATTGTGATTCTTTTAACACAGTTTGGTCGTAAACATGAGCTCGAGTAGGCGTAAGTAAGGCTGATAAAGTTGAAACCCCAGAGTAAATTCCAATAAGTGCCATTATCGAATCTCTTTGATAGAGTTCAATAAATTTGACTACAAAGTAGGATCTCGATGAGAGCCAAAACCATCAATACATTTATATTGTACGGACAATTTTTAGTTTCGAGCTTACTGCCTCCATATTTTTATATCGACGGCGAGGTCGAGCCGATCGCTTCGTCGAGAACGCGTAAACTACGGCACGTTTCTTGTACAGACTCTCCCGCCTGTTGTTAGAAGAATAAGGGCCAGCTACACGAATAGTTATTACCATGTTACTACTATTTGATATGTGTAAAAGCAGTAGAAACGAGCTGTGAATGATTTCCGAGAACAAATGAAATAAACGAATCTAAAATATCGGTCTGCTACGAGCAATTTGTATTATTATACGTTGTTTGGAAGTTAACAAAGTTGAGACGATATCGCTCTGAGCCACCTAGAAAAGTCATTGAACACTGATGTATGGCCGGAGCGTCCCTGACGGTAAGTTAGGCATACGCTTTTGGGAAATGTCGAATATGTGGGGTGTCAAAGCAACCTTCCGAACAACAACTACAACTTGGGATCGAGCAGGGAGACCTGTGGTACAATTTCTAGCCTGAAGTTGATCTATAATACTTCGGAGATATCTAGCTTCGAGCCTTCGACGTGATGCTTTGGTCTTGAGGGCACTTTTATTGAGATAAATATGTGTACAATGACTATAGCTATCCTACTGCATGTAGCATGTTTATTGATACTGTCATTACTATCGCCATAATGAATTGTTGTAAGAATACTCCTCTAATGTAACAATAATGATATATAAAAAATGAGGTTTATAGATATGACTTTTATTTATGTTAGAAATATCGAGTGCCACAATTTAGACATTGTCAACAAAGTGGTATGTACATATGACAAATAATACATAAGCAAACAAACTATTACTACTACTGTGATTCATCAATATTGTTTTTCCATAAATGAAACTGTTTCTATGATTTAATTTGCCATCTATAACTTACGATTAAGTTAAAGATATCTTTAGCGCCAAAAATGGCATCGCGTTTTCTTATTATTAATTGATTGGTATATTAATCGATGGATATTATCTATATGTCGTCTTTTTGTATCAAGGAGGATATTGTTGAAGAGACAAACACCCACTCGAAGGTGCGCCAATGAAAGCTCCGTTTCATCGAAGCCAAGCGCAAGCGACTACCAGCAACTTATTTAAGGAGATTAATAATTTCATAGGCAAAGATAAAAATTAATAAATTAAAAATTGTGTTTGTATAATAAAACATTGTCTTCTATGGCTTCCACTTTCGTGGACGGATATGATCATGTGTCATGTTTTCAATAGACTTTCGTTTTCAAAGAGAGTAACCTTCCAATTTAAATCGGCCAGCTTCGATAAGCTCTCCTTCGGCTATGTCATAAAATATACGTTGACCGTAGATTTGTGAAAATGTCCCAGTTTTAGAACGTATTTTTCTCGCTTTAAATATTTATATATTTTTTTCTATTTATATGTTTTTGATAAGGTGCTCTTATTGGTTTGTGGTCGTATATATAGTAATTTTGCTTATTCAACTAGTGGCCATCTTCAAGAAAGATGTATTTGGCAAGCTTCAAATAATCCAAATAATAAACTTTGATTGAGACTCACTCGTTCGAGCCACCGAGTCGCAGATAGACGCTGCTACGTAAATGCAAGCCAACTTGCAGGTTGCTTTTAAGCATACTCACTTTTTAGCTATCAAGGAAGGAGGTAGTTTCCAGAACAGACTTGAAATAATGTAGTACACACGTCATGTTGAAGCTTCACCCGGATCAGGATCCACGCAGGCCAGGACGATTGGAAAGTTTGACAAAAGACATATTAGTCAGGTCGCCTATTCACTCGGTCCGTAGGACGCTCATATAGTGAGCGAGAACAACAGGATTCCTTTCCCAAAGTGCCAATAAAAACACATAGAAAAGTAGATCCCGACTGGAAGAATCCTGTCACCCAAGCGCTTCAGATTGGAGCCAGTTCTGATTGCAATGTTCCATAAATCTTAGGACGTTGACTTATTTTTCGCCTCTACCGGTTAACTGACTGGATTTTTTAACCATGACTTTTTTACTGCAAGGGGGAAATAAGTAGTGTTAAAAGTGAGAAAAAGTAGAATTTATTTTGAGAAAAGATAAAGCAAGCTCATCTTATACTAAAGTTACTCTAGTTCCGTAATGGAGTGACAATTGTCGTTTGGCCAGTCGGTCACACATTATGGCCTGACGCATGGCCTAAAGGAAATCCTAGCTTACAACACTCACAACCTAGTAAGGCGGCCCTTTAAAAAACCAGGCGGTATTGCAATAGGATAGTTTTGAACGTTCTGGGGTTACAATAAGTTTTATTTTTATTTATAAATAGAAAGGTTTATACAAGATTTAAGAAAAATTAGGATTGATGTAGTAGAACACTGAAATCTGAACAGATGCTAGATACAGGAACAACGGTGAAACACCTGGCAATATTATGTTCATGTACCTCCTCTTTGAAACGCATTGTTTTATTGGTTATTTAACTCCGTGTGAGTTGCAGGTAATTTTGCGAAAGTGCCCTGACGTTTTGGTTGACTTAATGGAGGGCTGCATGACTGATACGACATTGCTGATCTCTAGGGCGATGCATTAGATCTGTGATTTTCATTTAGTCTACATTACCTTCGGGTCATGAAAGTGACGAGAAGTCTATGTTTGAAAGGAGGACCACCAGTGAGAATCTGTTGGATGGTTTCGGAAAACGTGAATTCGTGTGTTGACATCATCGTTTGGGGACCTTAAATTTCGGGCAGTTTTGGCAGTTTTTTTTCTCTCCTAGCTTACCCTTTGACAAGACAAAAAATACAATACAAAAACAGAGATGAAATTTTCAATCGGTATCAGGTTAAACTTGTGTATAGCGTACGCTCTAAAAGATTTTGTGTACGCGTTCGAGATATGCTTAGTTCGTCTTAACAAGACTGGAGATTACCCCACTAGTGGCTCTATTGTTGTTCAGTTGATTTATGCCGGACACACCCACTTTTTCAAAGCCTGGAGAGAGCTCCGGGCTTTGAAACGATGACACTCCGGCGAAGAGAAAAAACTATATAGATAAGTGAACAAGAGTAAACAGTTTTTCCTCACAGCGACACCTAAAACGAACCTCCTAGAAGTTACTTCTACTAAAAGCCAGATGTTTGTTTTATTGTGTTAATGGTGGTCCCATCTGTGGCGAGTCTCCTGAAAGAAATAAATATTTCCATATTTGTTGACACTATGCTATTTGGGAATTATTTGCGTTAGGTTCTGTAAGTATAGGACACATCGTAAAAACCATGTACGCGAATCGTGATGGCTGTAAGGCAGATTGCATCACACTCTGAATGGGATGTTAGGGGGAAGCTAGGCAAGTCTATAATATTTATAGGATAAATAGCCCCGTTGAAAAATCCCTTTGCGCCTCCCACCAAAAAAAGCTTTTCAAGCTAACAGGGAGGGCGTCAGGTCTTCCGATACTCTTATAAATTCATTAAGCTTTCTATTCTCTACAGATTTATATACATGATCAGAATTGTCGGACTTATAGATATCTGTTTAAAATGCTAGCTATGCTTAGATAGATGGAGGTCCTATCACGTTTAAGGACAGTATGCGCTTATTACGGCTAGGTAGTTGGCCCATTGTAAAGCGACGCTGTGGGTGGACCCAGGCGGGTTCACCTGAGCTCTTGTTCTCAAAAGCCTGACAAGGGCTTGACACCATCCTTCGACACCGCGCTCTAGGCCTTTATGCGATTAAATGAGTTCCCTATGGGGCTCCAGGAATCAGTTCGGTTTGTAGGCTAATCAAGTATTTTGCTATCGCAATAGTCGCTAAAAACGGCTCGCAAAAAGGCTAGCATGTTACGCGTTCTGGCGTATAGATAAACGTTTTTCTTTTTTCTTCCCAATGTTCTGCCATTGGTTACCGCGGAACTGACACTCATCGACCTATGGTTAACCAAGTTCGTACAACGGCCCCTTTATGGAATGTCGTTGTACTCTAACATTTTCAAGCAGCACTATTACAGTTGTTGGGAATAAAAGAAACATTTCTCAAATGTTAGATCAGTCAGTTAAATGCAACAGGAAAGCCAGTTCATCTAGTATGAACTCCCACGCGGTTATACTATTGAGTGATAGGCAGATCAGCGAGCAAAAGATGTTTGACAGCCACGGCTCAAGGGAAGAATCATGAATCGACTTTCAGGTCAGTTAACAGAGAACCTTAATGTAAAGCGTGTACACCTTTAATTTCAAACTTTAGCAAGATGAAAGCTCTGGATTGATTTATGCAATATTCGGAAAGTTTATCTTGTGCCCTCTCTTTGGTGTATGGGTCGGTATTGATGACCTCGTCTTGAGGTTGTGGTCGGTGCACCTGTCCTGGTAATACGATGTTTTCTGTGGTCTACCTGCTAGAAGAATGTTCACGGAAACGTAGCTTGCTGTAAGCACCTGTCTATCAAGTTCGGGGCTCATTGGTCACCTTAGAAAGTATCTTTCTTTGGGAGCACCTAGGAATATCTCGTTAGGATAGGTTTAACATGCGGTACAGACTATTTGTTAGTTTTGGGGGGCTCTTTATTTAAATAAGGCGCCGGTTTCACTGTCGGTGGGCTTTTGATGTGCCCGCTTTCCGGTTCCAAGTGCGTCGTTTTGGTTTAGAGTTCAATGTATACATAAAATGCTAATGTTACAACTTTGTCAAACGATAGGCATGTTTATAGTTGACGTTCATGGCTAGCATGTTTACTTATGTCATGGGCTTGATTTATTTTTTGTCACTTAATTTTGGTATCCTCTTTTTATTTGATGTGGGCTATCACACCCTCGGGTAAGTTAAACAAAGCACTTTGGCTAGTAGCTGTATATTTTGAATGAAAAGGCCTACGCTCACTTGCTATGCTTGGCACAGCTACCTGTTTTTTTTTCTAAAGTAAGGCCATAAACTCATCGTGACAAAGGCATTGTATTGCTGATGAGCGAAGATATTGTTAATTGCCTCAATTAACGGAGCCGTTAAAGCTTTTCGTGCGACTTCAAAATATTCCGGGGAAGATTTCTTTGACCCAAGCGGGAGCTTCCAGAAAGACCCAAAAGGCTAAAAGAACTTGATCATTCATTAGAAGTGGGCTAATAAGCCATTTTTGATAATCAAAAAAATCTTGATGAAAAACTAGATGGTGTTTTCGGTACAGGAGCATCGATTACCAACGGAGTTAGGCAAGCCAACGAAGTCTTGCCTGCTAGCTAGAAATTGCAGATTGCATATGCGTCAGTAATATATCGTAGTAATACACCGATTTTTCTCTGCCTATAAATCATGCTCGTAATAAACATGTTTATAATAATATAGGCCGTTCCAGCTTACACACTAGAAGAGTGATTAAACTTAATATTGTTTGAAATCTTAGTAGTTCTAAGGTGATTCGATCTGTAACAATAATATTAACTTGCGCGCGTTATTAAATACATATACTAAGATCTGAATATAAAATAAGTAGATTCTTATGATAAGTTTTTCATTCTTGCAGAACTTGTTCATAAGTACCATAGATGCATGTTTATGATATGTTTCTTGCAGCATGTGCTATGATTACTCAAAGAGCCAAGATCTCTGAAGAAGAACATATGTGAGCAGAAAATTTTCGGCCCAACGAGAGCATACGTCTTAACTACTTGAGTAATATTTAGTTCGACGTAAATAGATTCCTGATTTTAGAGACCTGTGCAAAAAATCTGCTCAGGTAAAAAAAAATGCTGGATAAGAAGTCCCGGAATCTCAGTAAGCCCAAAAAAAGGTCTTGATGTTAGACGTAGTTTGGTCACAACACAAGTCTGAGGTGGCCTTTTAACCCAACAAAGAAAGAATCAGAGGCTGCATGATGATTGATAAGTGCTTCCAGTTTCCCTTATATCATTTTTTCTTATCGTTTTAATCTCTTTTATATTAGACTGGTTTGAACTGTCCAGAGAAAAACACTATTTATAAATATGTAAATGAGAAAATAAAAGAACGGAACCAGCGGAAAATACTAAGGCAGTGTGGTACCTAGCTTGATCGGAGCTACTGTGAACGCTTACGGAAAATTGGTGTATTTTTAGCATGGACGTTTTCCCAGAGATGGTTTTCAACGGTGACCTCATCGACAGCGCCCCCCTACGAACGGAACTTGGGCAGATGGTGACCGTGTAGCTGTCTGGCAGATTATTAGGGAAAGGCCGGATGCAGAAGCACTCCGTTTCGTGTTGGGAACCAGCCATCTGAAGTAACTCTCAACAGTTGTATGTACCAGACGTAAGACACTAATGGCATTTGTTATAGGAAAACTCCATTTGTAGGGTTTGCAAAAAACACATTTTTTAAATTTAAAAGATTTCGTGCTGTAACGCATAATACTGAAAGTAGCTATCTCAGATATGACAAGTTCCAATTTAATCAGGAAGTGTTACCGTTAGGCACAGCCATAAGCACATTGTTACTGGCTCAGAGAGGGGAAAAGAACCAGAGAGAATGTCTCAGACGGCCTCATACGTTTACCATTTTACAACTGTTACACAAGCAAACTTCCTGGAAGGCGGAGATACACACTTGACGGCTTCTGGTCACGTTCATTTGTTGGTCAAGACCATCATGGGACGGGCATCAGTGACATCAGCACGATATCAGCAAGACCTAGAGTGTGTATCCTACGCTTCTGGTTCAACGTGTCATCAACGGCTGGTTCGAAGCCAGCACACGGTATCTGCGGTCTTGATCGTATTGGTATGATGCCGCGTGTGAACGCAGCGGTGAGGGCCGGAGAGGGTAGCTGCTGGTGGTCTCTCTATTACCACCAGCATAGCCAGCATCGCCAGCACCATCAACGATCACAGCCGGACCTACTGGACAGCGTTGAGCCGCGACGAAGCCGTGGCTGGCTTTCTACTAAATTGACTACTTCTACTTCTTGAGCGAGTAGTCGATGAACAAAAGGACGGTGTTAGTGAAGGAGAGGATACCGACAGCAGCAGCTTTAAGAGAATGGGAGGACCCGCGCTGGCAGAAGCGACCCGCCGGTGGACATTGGACATAAGTACCTGGCCGACGAACCGGTACCAATACTAGGCCCAGAGAGGGTATACGGCAGGCTCAGAGGGCGACGGCAAGCAGCAGCAACAGCATCAATGTGTTCGAGTGTTGGGTGACGCGTGTAGTACGATTATATGCATCGGCGCCAGTAGCAACAGTGGCGACGCGCTGGTAGTTACGGCTGTGCCGAATAGGCAAGCGTATAGATAGAGTAGGAGGCAGAGCGACAAATAACTAGAGATACGACCACCACTGTTATTAGCACCATAGAACAGATTAGAGTTGAACTGGAGGACTCTGAAGAGGATAAGGAAGAGACAACGGCGACAGCACGAGACTGAGCGCACCCCAGTTAGGCACAGCGCTGCGCGGTCTCTACGCGCTACATTGGCTGACACCCGCGGAGTGCACAGAACTACAGTTGGAGAGTAACAGCCACAGGGAATGAAAAAGATGCATAGAGAGAGAGACGGCCTGACTGAGGAGTAGTTCGACCGGCCAGAGCTTTGGCCTTTGGCCGTCGTCGTTGTCGTTGTCACCGTGTCTCCTTCCCGCGGCGGCAGCGGTAACGGCGACAGGCTGCAGGCGTCATCGCCAGGACAGAGCGGAAGACTGGACAAGACCGAACTGAGCTGGACAGATAAGTAGCGATCGGCAGCAGAGACAGACAAGCACGGGTGGATAGAGAAACTGTTGCTGCATCGGCTAGCGACACAGCCATTGCTTTCGCTACCGCTCTTACTAAGACAAAGTTCTCTCGTCCTGGTAGCAGCGGCGGCGGTGGCGACGGCGGCCCACCGTGCGCCATAGCCGTGTTGGACCGTCGTCGCGTGACGACGGCATGGTGGCGCCCACCAGAACTGAGGAAGAAGGGAAACCACTAACAATCGTCTCTGTAGAAATATAGGCAGACATTTAGGTTCACACGAAAAGGCACGCAGACACATACGCCTGTACAAGCTGCGTGAACACGCGCGACTACCTAAGTACGAATCCAGGTAGCCTTTGTCGTGTCATCTGTTTATTGTGGTACTCGTGCAACGAAGGTGGAGACGATTTCGAACGAGTGCTGTGGAATCGAAAAACGACAACCGTATCTGAGAGACTCAGTGGTCCAGCACCTGTGCACCAAACCGAACCCGCAAGCAATACCTTAACAGTCTGTTGATCAACTTTATTTTGTTTGATTTGCCTAGGAACAGTAGGCGTGTAGCGCGAAATTTGTATTCTGCAAGAGGCGATCTTTGAACTACTTCAATCAAGGAATCGGCTATTTTGCGTAGTGACTAGCATATGGGCACACTTCAATTAGATCTAAAAAAACATTGCGTGACACACAGAACCTGCGCCATGTCGAACACAATCTGACAGAAGCTGACCCTATGGCGTAGTTCATTAATGCTTTCGAACGAGTGACGTATATGAACGTTCTCTTAGTGTTTAGCGTAGATTCTTGAAGCTACCCCATTCGGTTCATTCGTGTCGTTGCTGAAATATTGTATTTTCATAGAGGCTCTGATAAATCTGTGACATTGTGTGTGGTGGCATGGAAGACAAGGTGCTACCACAATAGCCGAATGGATAATGTGCGCCAAATATCGTCGTCTACTTTTGTTTTTGGTTACTACTATACCTATAGCCATCATTGTCGTTACCTCAGTGTCGGGAAATTGTCACCTCGATCGCAACTGTCTCTTAGGCAAAAACGACCGTCTGGCATAATTCCAGTATGCTGTTCATTCCTTGGAGGCTAGACCCCTCTCACGAGTGCCGCTGGACGTCGTCGTGGTGCTGGCTTGTCCTTGCGCTGGCTGCGACTGCAGAAGTGACTATCGCACACCGATTCACGCCGATGACAAGTGAAGAACGGGAAGATGAAACCAATACGACGTTCGCAATGGGCGACATACGCCTACTTCTTGGTGAATGTCCATCAACCGACCAGCATCTTTTGTTGAATCCAGCAAACAAAGCTATGTTAGCTCCGTTTGTGTTCTATGGCCGTCTTATTGGCAAGTGGCAGGATGAAAGCCGTAATCTACTCATCAAGTTACGTGTACAGAAAGTCCTCAAAGAAGGATACTCAACTAGCGTACTAGAAAAGGCGCGAAATCTCACAAACATGACAGCAGTGCACTTTCGACAAAAATTTTTATTTTATAGTGCAGCACAGATGCAGCTTGAGGCTCATAGTGACGTTGTGGTGGCATTTTTGCGAGACGACCGTTCGCCTACGCAACGAAGACGCCGACCTAGCCCTTGTCCAATAACGTTGGAGGGCAAGCCGACCGCATGGTTGGTCACTAATGGGCGTTATCTTGTTTACGCCGCCCCCCTTCTGGGACCATGGGCAACACGACTGCCCCGAGCGAATTTTTCCGCCGTTGCTCTGCCAGACCCGTTCAGCCGTCGCGCTAATCGGACAATCCACAAAGCTCTGTGTACTAAATGCGGTAAGATTCACTTTGTCGTTATTGCCGTTGTCGTCGTTTGGTACATATATATTTGTGAGAGTCATGAAACAATAGTTATATTCTCCGTAAATACGTTACAGAAACATCTCAGTGGTCGCGTTACGACACTTAATTGGATTTCATAGCTTCTTATAACAAGCAAACGTTGCTAAAGAGTATCCTTTATTATTATTCGCTATCTAAGACAATGTCACAAGTCGTGCCCCACTTGTCTTGTCCCTCCATTCACTGTGAACTGATAAACATGACCACCTCTTTACGAGTAACCAGCTTTGTGCCTATCGTAAGTACACAACCCACGAACAGACACATTGTTTTAATGGCTGTACGTGATTGAGGCAAAAAAATCCTTAGCTCCAATTACCATCAGCATTCCCTAGTGAGCTCAGAGTCTTGGTTGAACAGTATAATTGTGTATACAAAATCCTACGCGGATGGAACAGCTGTTGTGCACAGATGTTAATAGTAGTTACTGTAGCTGCAAAGTTGGTCGATTCTCGTCACCGTACCGACAGACCAATTAATCTAAAGATAACGAAGTAGAACCACACGGTATTCAAACTGAACAAGTGTCGTATCATTGTATCTCAGGGGGTCTCCTGAGCATTTCGCGGTCTACCGGAAGGGCCCGACACAGAAACGATACTGCAGGGCTAAAACGGACTGCGCTATCTATAGCAATGACGCTCTCTTTCAAACAGCTGATAGCGCTAGTATCTCTACTCGTCGTAGATTGTAGTCGGAACCTGAATTGAAGCTCCTTTGAGTTGTCGTTCATTAATAATAATAATAATAATAGTAATGAGATGAACAAGCACATTGTACTTCGTTTAACTACACTGTAACATTGTTATAGGCGGGATCGAAAAACGCAATGTCTTCACCCCTATAATTTCGTTTTCAAAGCTCAGAAACTGTAAATCACGAGGAGACATCTCTGATTAGACGTGCATGACTAAAACGCCTGACGACCTATTATAACAAAAGACAGTTTATCAACGGCTGCTTCAGAAAAAGCATTTGTCCGCCACGAAGGAAAATGTTTATACATTGAGAATCATCGATAGTAAGGGCTTAACTAAAAATACCCTTCTTTTTTTCATGCACGTTGTTTTGTTCGCTCGTGCACTAGTTTTGTGTTTCTGAAATGATTTCTATAGGATGAGTTAGGTGTTTGAATCCTACGTATCTCTAGCCTATTTGTAGCTGAGAGACAAATCCAATCATAAATGGCATGGCTAGCACGATTTAGCGTGAATAAATCTGTAAGTTGCTCATTATTAATTGACCGAATTACTCGTGTTGAGATCAACAGATATGAACTCAGCATGTGGCCGTATTTACCCCCGTATGGCCTAGGTCATTCCTGCCGAAAGATAGATGAGCCTTATATTCTTAGTGAGTAGGAAATTCTTATCAGTTTTCCAATAAAAATTGATAAATTATTTTTTTTTTTTTGTATTATGAAGCAAGCAAACATAAGGATTGCTTTACATCGACAAATAAATGAAGCGGTCACCACTTGAAATGACACCTTCATGTAGCCTTCTATTACTTTCTTAGCAAATAAAATTTTATTTGGTATATGGACTTAGCAATGGTTGCTTTAAAAACTGCCGTCGATACCTTCTATAAATTGATACGACATACAATCATTGCTTCACTCTATGTATGCTAATGGGTGTGATAATCCATTCCTCTGAAAACCTCTAAAAAAATCCGTCCAAAATAAATTAATTAGGTGCACCACTTTGTTTTCATGTATTCCATTTATAGATACAGTACCACGTTGCGATGTTATATTTTTTTGAAATTAAAAATTACTTAATCAGATAGCCATAGTTATGATCGATAACTGTAATCAGAAGGCAACCGGTTGCCGGAGTACAGACTCAATTTAATTTTATTTTTCTTGAATTTTTTCATACTCTGATGTAGTTTACGCTGTAAACAGAGGTACCAAATGAGAGATAATCGACGCTTGATGAAATTTTAACATAGAAGTCCAGAGAGGCAGGACAATACGAATGAGTTTTTTTTTTTTTAATTTATTTATTTTTTTTCTGAAAGTATTAAAGCAGTGCTAAGAGGAAGCAATAGATTCAATTTTATGCTGCAGCTAAGCCTTTGAAATATAAGAGAAAACATACTGAACTTGCCAAGTACACCAGTTTCAAGTGACGAATGACGACATCTGTATTTCATCGAACAAATATCTATTCCATGAGAAAGTAGAACTGACGAACCCACATCGGGACGTCTACTTCCGCGTCAGTGGATATGAATCGTTGTTAGATAATGTTATTAGATGGACGGAAAACACTTGGTTACCTTGAGTGCAAAACTCACAACTTATTAATCAGCCAATTTTTCTCTATGAAGATTTTGCAGAATGCATTTTAAGGCAAAGCTGCAGTTTCTCAAATGAGCGGTGCCGATTTCCACATGTAAAAAACTACTATCTGCTACTAAAAAAAGCACTTGCATTTTGCCGAACCTGATTGAAGGACTCTGGTGTCCTGATGGTGCCATGTTTTCGGTCCAAGGGGAATACGGCAAGGGGATAATACGATTTTTGCAGTGTTTACACGAATATCGATTGATTATGCCGCTTTGCTACTCTGTAGCAGCCCTTTTTATACACACGCGCCAGTCTCCATGAGGTTTTCTTGTCAAAAGAACATTGAACACCGTAGCAGGAACCCAGAAAGTCAAATAAAAGGCGGAACGGGACGCGATAGCGAAAGTCTGGCTCAATATAATGTGTCTTTCTAAGAGTAGAAAAAAGTGGTATACATAAGTTGCATTAATGTTTCAGGTTTTACGTACGGTATTGCCATTAGGCAATGATTCCGACGGCTGGCTACCAGCGCGAAACAAAGCGTGTCTAAGCGCGCTTTTCTATGCATATGAGAAGCTAGTCTAAGATGTCGTGTTCCGTTCGTATTTTATAAATTGCATGCATTTTCGAACGGCGCAGTAGGAGGTCGAAGACCGCAAGTACCTTTAGAGTACATAGTTCTTGCGCGTGTCTGAGTTTGTGGGGGGTTCCTTTTCGGGGCCGTGATTTCGCGGCACCTGGTATATTGTCAGCTGGGTTCCTTAAGTCGATCAGGTATGATGAAGCAGTCCCATTTAATCAGTGGGAACAGCAAGGCTTGCACTTAAACCGTTGAATAAATAGATTATTCATGCCCAGGTCGGGTGTAAATTAGCAGTTCGAGGCACTTTAGCGTATATAATAAGAGAAAAAAAGTCGTAACTCATTCTCCAAAGTACAATCTGTATGTTTTTTCGTTACGTAGATGTAACAGATTTCAATTGGTAATCCTATCTTTAGTTCACCATAGTTGCACGCTAGCATAATAATTAGCACAACTGCTATCATTTATATAACCTCCCTATACTGATCGGTTCTCACAGATAATCTGGTGCAATCAGTGTTTCCCCATAGCTAAGTAACCGGAGAAATGGATCCGTCTAACACGTTATAGCTAACCGCAGAAACTAATACATCGGTTTCTGCAGGGCACAGCTGCCTTGTGTGCATGATTTTGTTTGATCATATTCCCTTTGGCAGCGCACGCATTCATGTCCGCGTATTTATACGACTGACCATAGAACACATTTACTTTGTTACAACTGTTGTTCATCTTCTACCATTTGAGTATGCTCAATAACTACTACTAGTTCGTAAGTGGTACTTCATTTGTCAGACGCTCGTCATGGGTTCTGGTGCTCTCTTCTCAACGAGATTTCGGTTTACTTTAAACGTCTTCTTTGATGGCGGCGGCGGCGGTGGCGGCGGCGGCGACTGTAGCGGTGAACGGACCTGCGGGCGAGCGCACGTCTGCTGCTTTTGTTGTTGTTGTTGTTGTTGTCGTCATCGTCGTCGTCTGCTGCTTGCTATATTGGCGATTTAACTGATCGTACTCAGCAAGGAAGTGTTGTTTCAGTTGCGCCCCTCTTAGTCAATAGCCCGTTTCTCCAACTTGGGCAGATTGGCATCGGGTCAGGTTGTTTACCATTAGCGTCATCCGCGCCATTAAAGATCGTCTTAAAATTAGCAAAAGACCCCTTCATTGCGAGCAGAACAGTGAATATTTATTACCCGTCTTGTATACATTTATGTAGCCAGCAAGGGGAGTAGTTACAATAAGACCGATGCTCGTCGTGTCTGCAGCGGAGAACCTCTATCGCCTCAGAAACTCCATGCCTGATAAAGATGAGGCACCGACTAGACGCTGTGAGAGCGGTCGATTGGCGAAAATAATTAGGGAATTTGTACATTTCGAGTTACATACTTGCTACTGACGGTAAAGGAGAAAAAATCACGGCATCAAACTATATTTCGGTTCATATTTGCATAAACATGATTCGTTTCATGCTGGGTGGGGCCAGCCACCTGAAATAACGGTAGTACAGGATGTAAAGCCTCGAATATCTCATATACCAAATTGAAGAACTGGTACTCTTCTATGTGCGCAGGAAAAGTTACGTGTGCCGCAACCCAGAGAGAATTCTTAATCCAGAGAAGGATTACAGACGTTTATTTCATTATAAATCTAAGAAAAAATAATAATGAAAATAGCTTTAAAAAGGAATACACCAGCTCACATCATACATATGCAATGCTATTATATATTTATTAGTTTGTGGTATAATAAAGTTAACAATATTTTCAAGCAGCCTTTGAAAGTATCAGGCCCTATCTCTAGGTCACCCGTTGACAGATCTTTTTGGTGAAAGCTTCTATTGCTACAGTGCGTCTGACCGACATTTTACCTTTGATGAATTGGTTTGTATGTAACAAAAATGTTACCTCAGGAAATTACGCAGTGGACTCGAAAGTTTCCTCACCGTGAAAAAGTTTTTTGAATGGAAGCTGAGACCCGAATTGAACATTATTGCGCTAATGCTATTACCGAATGCCTTAGATTGTTTGGTTTATTTCTTACGTCACACCGTGTATACTTGTG